TATATAATACATACAATATATATATATATATATATATATATATATATATTTGACTCAGGCCGGGTATTGGGCTACATGTTAATATTTGGCTCCGGTTGAGTGTTGAAGTTAAGCATTTAAGCTCTAATCTTTGTGGCAACTGATGCGGTACTGAAAGTTACAGTCAATAATTTGTTTAGTTATAATAAAAAAAAAGTGTTCCGAGCAACAAAAACTGACCGCTCGCTGAAAGTTGGGGATTCACAGAGCAATAGAGGTTAATAACAGGAATGGCTTGAGAAGTGGATTTCTGGGGAAGGTAGGAGTTTTGAGAATAATAGAGGTTAAGGTTTGAGAAGTTGGGGCTAGGCATTTAAAGTTGAAAGTAAAATTTGAATGTTCTGTTGGTGATTATTTGGTTAAATGTAATAAATGTCAATTTCGTTTTTGTTTCTAATTTTTGTATGTGTTGATTGTTTGTTTTTTTGGGGAGAGGCAAGGGGAGAACCCGGACCTGGCATTCGGCCAAATTTTACTACCTGTGCATCCCTAATGATGGTAACCAAAGGTGATTGTATTTTACACAATACTGGTACACTTGTGTAAATTCCAAGTTTGTTATCCAATCCAGTAATGAAACTGCACGTGCACCACATGATATACAACTTGTGTGGTGATATTATTAGTCAGAGAGAGTTCAAAGGTTAATAAAACAAAAATATATATATACAGATGTATACTGTTACAAGATTTAAGTTATTTAGAATAAACATCTGTGGTTCCCTCTTACAATTTGCAGTCATTCTAGAACAACAAAAAAAGCATAATTTAGATTTATTTCCTATATTTTAAGGTGATTACTAGATCAATCAAATTGACGAACCTCATACAGAGTTAGGTTAGAGAAATTGACACATAAAATATAAAGTTTTTTTCAGAAAAAAAAATTTTGATAGTTATTTAAGAGATTATAGAGATTACACAAATGAAATTTGTCAATTTTCACATAACATTTTCAAATTACTTTCCATTTTGAATAGTCAACATTCCAAAAGAAAAGAAAATCATGAGCAGATCTTTAATTAAAATAACTTTAAAGTTAATTAAAAACCCTGATATTTTGTGTATGAAATCTTTGTAACATTTACTGATAATATGCAAATTTTGTGAAGATACACATACATTATCAAAAGTATTGTATGCCTACTTCCATGGTTAAGGGCTGGGTGCAATGCACCCTGACCTATAGTCAAAGAGTTAAAGACAGAAAAAACTAACTGATAACACAATCTAAAACAGAAGTCAGCAAAATCTGTAACTCCTACAGAAAGTGCTCAAAATAGCTTAATCAAAATTCTAATAGAGATGGTTCTAGGCCTGCACACTAGCATCTATAAAGACAACCCAAGTTTGAAAACTGGCTAGTACTACTGCACAAATAGTCCTTCCCTGAAGATGTTAGCAACCAAAATGTAAGCTAAAAATGTATATACACGCACATATTTTTATTAATACATAGATATCAAAATAAAAGTAACAAATTAATAATAGTTGACCTTATAGCAATTCTGACCCCAGTATATATATATATTTTTAATTATATAAGAGGTTGCTTCAGTTTTATTTGAACATTTTCCAGTTACCTCATGAAGAATAATTAAATATTTTAATTCTTTGACTACAAGCTGGTTGGATTGTACAGCTCACAATTACCAAAGTAACCATGAGAGTAGTCATACTATAACTTTTGATAATGTAGGCATATCTTCAATAACATTTCACAGATTATCAGGTTTTTTAATTAAAGATTTGCCTGTGAATTTTTTCTTTTGGAATGTTAACTGTCCAACATGCAAAATAACTTTGATTTTAAAGGCTTTAAAATTGTCAGATTTCATTTGTATACTCTATAACGTACTACATAACTATCAAACCTCTTTTATATATATATAGAAAAACTATATTTCTTCTGTTATTTTCTCTACCTCAACCCTATTAGGAAATGGATCTAAATTAGTATTTTTCATTCTAGAATGACTGCAAATTGTAAAGCAAGACCACAAATGTTTATTCTAAATAGCTTAAATATTGTAATAGTATACATCTATTTATATTTACTAATTTTTTGTTTCATTGACCTTTACACTGTGTCTGTCCAATAATACTGCCACAAAAGTTGTAAATCGTGAGGTGTAGATGCAGCTTGCATTACCATATAGAATAACATAAAATTGGCTTTTACAGAGTTCAAATATCTGACTCATCTTAGTACTAACATGCCAATATATTGTAAAATACAAGAACATTACATGTGTGTGTGTGTGTCTATACATATAAATAAATAAATTCTTTTCTTGAAATATAGAAC